ATATCGAAACTCAGACCGATTTGATCGAGTCGAAGGTTGCATGCATTCAGAATGATCAGAGTGTTGTCGCACTTGTGAAACAGTATAAAATGAGAATAGAAGAGCTCTAAAGAGAAATAGAAAGCATTTCAAAGAAGAATGAGTGTTTAAAAAGTAGACTTTTTTCTATTGAAAGATTTCGAGCCGACAATTCTGCTGTGCCCTGCTACACTGCGTTTCCTAACAACGCTGTTTTAATGGAAATCTACAATTATCTAGACCCCAGAACGTGTTATATGATTGTTTAATTCCGCTCTGGTAAACAGAGGCATCTTCTGAAGTGAGTAGCTCCACATACTAGATTCAGGGAACTTGACGGGAACATGTCGTTTAGCGGTGGAGTGTGAACTTGTGTTGTTTGCCGAGCGTAGTTGTTTTCGTTTAGAATAAAGATTATTGGGATCAGGATCAATGATATTTTTATCCTTTCCGCTCTTGATGTATTAAGGGACCCTAAAGTATAAGGAATTAGGTCAATTTAAGTGTAAGTAATCACAATTGACAATTTTCTCAAGCAATCAAAATACCCCGAAGTACGCATCTTGTGCTCGAAACTAGCCTTTTCACAAGCTCTGCTTTTGTCTTTAAACCTCTCGCTGGGTCACCTCTACCCTTCAACCATAGTCTCAAGTCCTCAGTCTTGAATTGTGAGAGATTTCTCTCTCCTAAGGAAGCTCCAGGAATGTCATTTTCGGTTAAAAAGCTCGAGGAATTGTGAGAGTTTGTATTCGCGTCGCTATGTGTTGCCCGGGTGGCCTCGCTTTCGTGAAATTATTCATAACCAGTCTCAGACCTCCATCGCATTTTCCGCCATTATGGCAAAGGTGTATGAAATCGCTGAACAAACCAAAGGGCCAAAGAAATTTGTAAGCTACGTGGCACAACGTAGCAATCATTGTAAGAAATGCATAAACGACATTTGTGAAAATGTGATGCAAAATTACGGCAGGTTCACGGAATCTTCGTGACATTGAAAATGAGGATTTTGCATGCACGTCTAGAGGAAGCGACAAACAGAGCCGTACAATAATGTATCTAAGAAATCTAAATAGGTGTTCAGTAGGTTTCAAAAGGAAATTGTGTATATAGTGTCACAAGGCGACCTTCCAAATTGATGTTATCCATTTTCCAGGTAAAAGTACAACAGACCAAAATTGTACATAATTCCGTGATACCACATGTACAACAGAGGCTGACATCATTGAAGCAAATGAAATTATTTAGGGTTGAAAACAGCACTCTCTTTTTTTGAAAGTTTACAAAATTGCGATACAAAAAACAGCAAAGTTTACGATGGAAAACAAAGAGTGTTACTGAGAATTTGAACATGCACGGAGGCGGAGCTAATCAAGGGATACTCTCAGGATTCCCTCCTCTTTTCAACATATTTTGGGCAAGAAACAATTTTCCCTTTTCCTAGTTTGCCTAACTATTTTCTATTACATACGAAGACATTATAAATCAAAGGGTGTCATGAGAATTTGACAAAAGCGAAGCAGAACTTGACTTTGACAAGGAATACTCGTCTTTTTTGGGGATTTGTGTATTTTCTTCTACGTTAAGCTCAAGTTGGAAAAGTAATGATTTACTCTTTACATAGTTTATACAGTGACTTATTGTCTTCAATATGAAAATAAATGATGTTTGGAACGAGAATTAGAGAATACTATACTCATTGACCAGGAATTCAAAAGCCACATTGAAAAGGGTATCCACGTCCGGCAACACCAGCGCCCAGTTGTTCAAAGGCCGATTAGTGCTAACCCGGGGTTAAATTTTAATCCAGCTTTCTATATTTCTCTGTTCAAAATCAGTTTTGGAATGATTTTCCCAATTCTGTTTAGAACGATCGATCATCAAATTTTAGACAAATGGAATTACACTGAATTTTCTTATGAAGCTTTCAGATCTAAAATCAAATTTCACACTAACCCTGGGTTATCTTGATCCATTTTTGAACAACCCAGCCCAGGGGTTTTATGACCACCTCTTCCTCGGGTAGAAATACGTTATTCTACTTTTAGTTATTTACACGATTGTCATCTACTGTATAAAATAACAGTTCAAACGATGTTCATCAAAACAATTGTAAGAAAACAAAAGTCACCCGCATAGAATATTGCGACCGTACCGAAAGAGATTGGGCCACATTAATAGCCTTCGGATATCCTCTTCACCTTTAAGAATGCGATTGATTTTTCCCCTGGCTCACACGAATGTGTTCTAGCATAAATGATAACGATGCGCAAAATCTCTGTCACCAAAAGCGGAAAATATGATAATTCGGATCATTATCAATAGCTGGGAACAGACCCTTATATAAAACCACCATGACATTTTATTCAAAACCTCCTTATGTAAATCATCATCGTTACATAGCGACAATATAGAGGTACAAATATAAAACCCCTGGAAGTCAAGTACGGTTCTGACCTTGACGATCGACGATCGATATCAACATCTGCGCGCAGACCCATAGATGTAACATTTTACCGGCCTTTTCCCTTAGTTGGGGGTGAGACGGGAAAAAGCCCACCCCCAGCTGAGGGAAAAGGCACTGGGAACGAGGTTGGCGTTCCAGGTCAGTTAAAACAAACTAAAAAAAAACAGATTTTCTGCCGAAGAGCTGTGCTCATTTTTCTTCCAAATATTACAGCCCTATAAGTGAAGGTGTCGATACAGATAGATTAAAGAAAAAGTCGAGTCAAGTAGTAGGCCACTAAGATTATCTTGGTTTCCATGCTGCATGAAGCGACCAGGAATATTACTAACCTCCCCCCCCCAAAACGAATGCCAGCCCATCTTCGCTTTAATTACCTGAAGGAGAAATTTTTTCTAGAACATTAATCAGTTCCCTTGGAGAAGTAAACAAACGGAAATTTGCATATGTTCTTAACAGCACCTGCATTGTACTACAAAGGAAAAGTTGAATCGATGTTGAATGTAATGACATGAAATCTATTACAACGAAGGAATCTTTCGAACCTCGTTTTAAATTCCAAGAATCATGTTTACGTCGTTCGCACGAAAATTTCCCTCTCTGAATAAACGATGAGGATATAAAACCTGCCTTCTTTGTCCATTCAGCCTTTTTTGTGCACTGAACCTTGCACCCTCGGTGGCGTGTTGATATTCAGCGGTCGAACACCTTTGAATATGATTTTCGGTGGGAGTTTTTCGACATTTGCCTTCACCGCCAGAGCAACCATGAAACTTTCTCAGATCCATCGCATCCTTTTGTTAACTCTAAACCTTTTGGTGTGACTTATAACCGAGTATTTTCACGTAATTTTCAGTTTGGGAACTTGACTTGACTAAGTTGCTAAGTTTGGGGTGCGTCTTACAACCCAGTGCGCCTTATAACCGAGAAACTACGGTAATAACAATTATGTAAGGCATTTCGTGTGATAAAAGACAATGAAAATTCAATAAAATTTGCCTGAAATGTGAGGGAATAAAGTGTTGAGTCTCCTCTACGTCTTGTTCTGTATCGTTTGGCCCAGGAGAAAACAAACAATTTCTGAGAAACACAGGCTTAAATTTCTAAGTCATGCCTTTCTTGGCGACGGCGAGAAATGGACTTTTTAAACGTTGTAACGCCGCTGCAATGTTAGGGTTTTGAAGTTCACTTTCGGCGCCGCTTTAACTCGTGTCCAGTGTCTTCCGAGAGTAGAGCCTAGTGCTTTTTTTCAGAAAAATCTACTTATTTAAATAACGTCGTGTACTTTTGTGCGTCCTGTTTTTGTGTCTAGACGACTTTAACGTCTCTAGCATAAAAACGTCCAATGTTACGACATTCACAGTACTTTCAGTTCCCTTCCACTTGTCGCCAACACCAGCATTTCGGTACCTTTCTCTCCCATTAAAATTAAATGCAGAGATACCTTTTTCCAAAATTCATCTTGGTACCGCATATTCTAAAGCGTATTTAGAAACATTGCATGTTTTAGTCAAACGTGGAGCATGTCGAATTTACTCACAGGATGTGTACAATGACAAGAACAATTATTAAAGCCGAACCGTTGTGACCATTAATTTATTCAAATCAAATAGATCTTCACGGCTAAAATCAGCAAAATATATCATGCGAGTAATATGCTCGTGGATTATTTGGCACACACTGAAGTGTACTGCATTGTTCAAAACAAGTGGTTTCCCGCAGTTAGCTAAGAACGAGTCAAAACCATTTTGTGGAACCGAAAGGTCAAGAAGGGGCATACGTACGAGTAGAGCCTGTGATGATACTCGCCTTTTGCAGATTGTTAATTGTGACTTTATAGTCACCACCACTCGGCGAAAATCCTTACTCTTTGTAGCATCGGCTTATCGGGTTTTAACTGGGAAATTCAGTGGTGCATGGTGAAGATGTATTTCAATAAATGGTCACAACTGTTCTTAATTGTTCACCTCATAAGCGGTTAGCCGAAAAACTCATAGGCACATAATGCATTATACGAATTTACTCCAATTGTCATGAACTCA